AACTTTGGCTACATTATTGGTTTTGAACAAACTGCACAAAACAAATTATTTTAAAACCTCCATGTAGTTTTTTTGATAAATATTACCAATATTTTGGTTTTAATATATAGATCATAGCCCCTACACTGCAAAAATCTAAATGAGTCTTTTTTTTCTTAAATTAAGTGCATTTGTTCTTAAATTGAGAAGGTAAGTGAGATACTTTGCCAATGGAACAAGAAAAGTTACATTTAAAATTATATTTCAAGTGCATATGATCTAATCACCTTATTTTAAAAGTTAAAAACTCATTCCATTAGCAAATCACCCTGTTTATCTACGCAAATTAAGGGTAAATAGGCTTATTTTAAGAAATGTTGACTTATATTTAAATTGTTTTTGCAGTATATGCAACTGGCCGACAACTAGCTTAGCTAAGGTCAAAGGTCAAAAGAAAAAATGTTTTAATTTTATTGAAATTGGAGGAGTCCTGATGTGTTTTTCCTCAGTTAACTGACCCTGAGTGTACGTTCAAAAAGGCATAACTATTCATTTTCGTTTTTTCCATGTAAATTTGAATTGAATCTAGAAAAGTTTAGATTTGACCTAAACAAAAAAAAAAAAATATCTGTATTATATTTGAAGTAATTCCTCCCTAAAGGGAAAGTAAAGATTTAAAGTGATGAGTTTCTGTAGTTATCAGTTCTCTCTATCTGCAGTAGATCTATTTCATATCCCTGTGAGTTTATTGAAAAGTCAATAATTTTACAAATGTAAAAAATTTGGTTTGTTAGCTTGTTGCTAACTAACCCATTTAGCTAACTTCCATTATATTGTGATTATTAGGTTTTTGGTTTATTTGGCCATTAAATAAAAACTCAACTATGGAGCAAAGACTGCCAGATGTAGGTTTGTTAATTTATAGTTGTTGTTGATCTGACACCACTAAACTAAGATTGATCTTTATATAATAGATTCTTTTTTTGTCCTCAAAATGTAATGACTTTATTTATTGCCAAACAGCTGAAGTTTTATTAGGGCACAGGACGTGTCCTACATGCATGCGTGTCCCCGCTTGCTTAAGAAGAACTGAATGTTTCTTTTTAATCTCCCGGTCAGAATAATGGCTTCCTATTGCTGAGTAGCTCCTGTTGACGCAGGACTGCTTCTTTCATGGGATGTTATTTGTCTTTTTGACAAGAACATTTATCCAGTTTTCTCTAAAGTTCAACTTAATCAACTAAAATCTGACCTCCTATCTGTCTACATGTTAGCCTGTCCCTGCTCTGAGGATTCATTAACTTTTCCACAAACTCACAGGGATATAATATAATATTTCTACTACAGATGCTACTTTGCTTTAGAAAAGCCAGAGATGTTTAATTCTGCAGAGCTTTTGCAAAAAGTAGTTTTTGTTTAAGGGGTTTTCTTTGGCCAACAGAAGCTTATTTATCACAATTCGCTCAACCCGTGTGGGTCTCCTATTTCAGAATGTCGAGGTGAATTTATCAAAGGTACTTTCCTGTAAAGCACTTTTAAATGTTTGTCTAATTTAGATTAGTGTGAATAAATTGTCCCTTGGAACCTGTAGTTACAAACGTCCGGCTGCTGCGAACCACTATAGGTGAACAACAGCACAAACAGTGGCGTCACCATTTATATGTAAAGTTAGCCCAGCCGCTGTATCCCATATACTATTAAAAATGATGAATCTCAGTATGAGGTCTTAATGGAGTATTGTAGAATTTAGTTCCTATACTCTGAGTTGAAAGCAGAATGTTTGTCTTTCCAGTCTTAGCCGTGTGTCACACTCATTTTGCCCACAAACTGTTACTGAGTAGAAGACTGATTACGACCCTTATCATTTTTATATAAGTGCCTAAATTGCATAAGTTTGACAAATCAATGTAAGTTTCCCTGCCTACTGTGGTGCTAATCCTGAGCCCAACATGAAAAAATAAACGGCGACATAAACAAAAACAGCTGTTTCTGTTCAAGTAAGAAAAGTCATAGCAATCAATCACATTCTGAGCACCGAGTCAAAAAGCACTAGAACCCATTATTGTTACAAAGATCTTTGTTTTCTTCTCTTTGTAAAATATATTTTTATTTTAAGTGTTCTCTCAGAGAAGGCTTCTAAAGACTGAATGTTGCTTAAAGACTACCACTGTAATCCCAAAAACTGGGAATAATAAAACTACTACTATACGCACTAAAATCTGTTTTTATTGCCTTCGTTTTTCAACTGTTGCTATTTTTTTTAAGGTTTTGGTTAAAATAAAATAATAAACACCCAGAACTACAGAAGCAATGATAAGTAGGTTGAACACCTGGTGCAGAGAGAATAACCTCTGCATCAGTGTGAAGAAGACTAAGGAGATGTGGATTTTAGAAGACTACCCCAGAGGAGCAGCTGGTCTCCATCTGCAGGTACCGGGGTCTGCATCTATCCAGCGACCTCAACACTTCCTGTCTGGTCAGGAAAGACCATCAGCATCTCTGCTTCCTCAGGAAGCTGCATACGGCTGTACTCGGGAGCTCAGGCCTGCTGAACTTTTATCACTATGTGGTGGAGAGCGTTCTCTGCTTCTGCATCACTGTGTGGCACAGTAGATGCACTGCTGCTGATGGCTCTGCAGGGTGGTTACGGCAGGCTGTATGACCACAGGACATAGCATACCCTGCACTTCAAGGTGCAGGTAAAGGATGCTCCGGATCAAGAAGGACTCCACCCATCCTGCACACAGACTGTTTCAGCCCCTCCAATCAGGCAGACGGCTGAGGAACGTTCAAGAGCAAAACCACCAGACTCAGAAACAGCATCTACCCTGCAGCTGTTACTGTTGAACCAATTCCACACCTAATTCAGCTTCTATTTCTTTTTTTCTTTAATGACAGGTTAATTGGTATCTCTAAATTGCCCTTAGGTGTGAGTGTGTGTGTGCATGGCTGTGTGTCTTCATGTGTCTCTGTGGCCCTGAGACAAATTGGCATCCTGTCCAGGGTGTACCCCGCCTCTGGAACATAGACTGCCAGAGATAGGGTCGCCCACCATGACCCTGACGGAATAAGCTGGAGAGGATGGAGGGATAGAGCTTATCAAACTGGGACCGGAATCTAAATATCGTGCCACAAAAATGCGATAAATCAAGTTCAGACATTCGTTTAAAAGCAGAAGCTGATTCCTTTATACCCCTAATTTTTGGGGCAAATGTTCCTCAGTTGATATGAATCACATTGCAAAATTATTCATAACCCTAAAGCTTTCATATTATGTCACATTATTAAAAAAAAAGAAAAGAAAAAGTTGAATAGAGTTTTATGTGATAGTCTGTCTTCCCTGGGTCTTTAAAAGTCTTACAAATCTTTGAAGTAAAACTCCTCATAATTATGCCTTAAACTCGAGTCAGAGTAGATCCAAAGTGACTGTAAAAGTGTTTCTTGATAACAGCAGTAAAAGCAGTCTGCAGAATGGATCCAGCTTTTCTTTATTAGCTGGCTGAGCTTTATTAATTCACTTGGTCTGATGCCGCCACCCCAGCAGATAACCTCACTAGAGCTTTCACCATTCACAACAGAGAAGAAATGCAGCATCCTGCTGCAAACACTGAAGGATCTAAACTTCTCTAAGAAGTCAGAGCGAATTACAGGACGATAAAGACGTTTGCTGACGTTCCCAACTGCAGTTTTTGTGAATGATTTCCACAGACACTTAATTTAATTTAAATGCAAAACTTTTAAATGTGGAAAAACCTTTAAAGACACGCTCTAAAAAAACCTGCAGGTTTAATTGATGCAAAGGTTGTACCAGAGAATATTGATTCAGAGATAATATAAACCCTTATAAATGGAGTTTGTTGTTAAAATGATACATACAGAGAGCTCTGGGATGATGAACTGAGAAGCATCTCAGCTGTATAGATCATTTGCTGTTCTTATGCTCATAACTTTGACGTAGTCCAAAACTTTTTAGAACACACAATACCCCTTTGAAAGGTGTCTGCATTGGTATCACATTTAAAATTTCTATTCCTCTACCAGAGACAAAGTATTTCTTTTTATAGCAGTCTCTAGGGCTGAAACCACTAATCGGATTATTGAAATAATCTTCAACTAATTAATTAATCGATTAATCATTAACTTAAGTATAGAGACTGTAAAACAGGCCTTTTGATGACAGAGTCATCCATTTAGATCAGTAATTATACCAAGATTGTAAAAACATCAAATAAAATAAACATTTTGCAGTTAAGATTTTAAAAAAAACTTTTCTTCCATCAATATGCTCCATCCAGAATTCCTAAAGTGGAAAACTTTTCGTTTCACCTGGTTTCATTTTGTAAAAAATTGTCGGATTATTAATTCATTGAAAAAATTTAAATTATAAGATTAATCAATTTGCAAAATAATTGTTATTTGTAGCCATAGCACTATCCATTTTTGGCATTTAATACCTTTAAAAATATGTTGTTTTTTTCCCACAAAATGATTTTTTTATTCTGCATATTTTCCATTTCTCCTGTACAGAAGGGGCCAAAATCAGTTTTTTTATGCACCCCTGAAATTTTGTTTATATTGAAAAAAATTCCACTATCCTTTTCTCACATTTAAATACCTTTAAAAATATAAGGTGTTTTTTTCCCCCACAAAATGTTTTTTTTTTTATTCTGCATATATTCCAGTTTCCTGTACAGAAGGGGCTAAAATATGTTTGTTTTTAATGCAAATTTTGTTTAAATTGAAAGAAATTCACACTTGTTTTTTTTAATTTATCGCTTAAACTAAAATTTAAAGAGTAAAATGTTCAGAAAAGTTATGCATAGTAAAAAAAAACTAATATAAATGCATTGAGAAAAAAAATTTAAAGTCTTTGCACACTAGTTTTATTCCAATTTCTCTGCGTCTAAAGCACAAACTCTGATCACCACCAACGGTTAAAATAGCGAATAAAATGTGTTATTTTTTAAATGAATATTTAATTGAGGTGTAGTTTGGTGGATCGCCGGATGACAGCGGAGGAGGGAGGCACGAAGCTGCTTCCAGACAACTGAGACCAAACAGAGGAGGTGCGAAACAACGCCGACATCAGGAGCCGCGCAGTGCCTGGCCACCATAATGTAGAACTAAACCAGCTAGAGCAGTCTTGTGCCACATCTACCCATTTACATAACCAGATGTATCGGGTGGAGTGGCGGATTTAAAGGGCCTGTTTCTTTCCAGCGTGCTTAAAATGAAGGAGCTGAAGGGCTGCGGTATGCGCTGCTCGGTGGGCTTTCTGTCCCGCAGAGAGCTCACCGGACAGCCGCTCTTAAAGGAGGAGTTCCAGAGGCGAAGGCTGGCAGGCTGCACCAGCCTCTACAAGAAGAATCTGGAGGGCCATTTTGGCTGCGTCAACGCCATAGAGTTCTCCAACAACGGCGGGGAATGGCTGGTGTCCGGTAAGTTCCAGTTTTACTGTTAGCATGCTAGCGGCTGTCAGCTGGAACGCTTCCTGGGATAGCTAATGCTAGGCTAATGCTAGCTTAGCTTAGCCTAGCCTGTTTAGCTAGTTAGCAAACATTAAACTGAAAAAAAACACAAGCTATGCAACATTACTTCTTCGTGTCAGTTTCTGAAATTATGAATTTATTCATTAAGCTGTAAATTCCTGGCTGTAATTACCGTAATAACAAAGACTTTCTTGAATTTTAACATTATTTATGTCCCCAGATGATAATAAACAGTCATTTGGGCCAGTTTTATTAAATATAAATATCAGTGAGGGTGCCAACCTATGGACTACCGTAAACCCCTCTGCTTCTTTCAGGGACACTGATGTGAAAATGTACAGTGGATATATTTAGAAAAAACTGACAATCCTTTAGTTTAAATCCGTGTTTAGTTTGTAAAAACGTATAATTTTATTGCGCTTTTGCTTATAAAAAAATTATCTGACAACTTCCTGTGTTGATGCCTTTTTTATTAGACTGATAATGAATTAACTTGTACAGCCATCTATTATTCTCTCATTCTTCAGTCTCATATCCAGCATCTTTACATTATTTTGGTTGTTGTTGTTCATCTATCTTCTTATTATTTTCTCTCTATACCTTTTTCCCTTACAAAATAAAAATGGCGTCAGGAAAATGAATCTCATGCCACAGGTTATTTTAACTAAATGTTGTTTTGGATTATAAGTTAAGATGTTTGTTGTCCTTCTTTCTGTAGAAGTTAAATAAAAAGTAAAAATACCTGGTTTCTAAAGAAAATACAAACTGTTTTTTCTCACTGAGCTTTTTTTTTTTTTTTCATTTAAAGGATGTTGACATAAGGGCTGAAACAATTAATTGAATTAATTGTGATTAATCGATTATTAAAAATAACCGTCAAGTTACTAATCGGTTTATTGTTAAATGGAGTATAGAGACTCTAAAACATGCCTTTAGCTGACAGAGCGACCCGCTTAGAGCACTGGCTATATCAAAATTGTAAAAAAAAAAAAAGTTTTTCGTCTGTCAATATGTTCTCTCCATCCATCTATCCATTTCCTGTCATGCTTATCCCTGCTGGGCTCATGAGGGCTGCTGCTGCCTGTCTGCAGCTGTCCAATCCAGAACACATGAAGTGGAACATTTTAGTTTCACCTGGCTTAATTTAGTAAAAAAAAAAAAAAAAATATTCTTTAAGGAACCTTCGGTTGTCTGATTATTAATTGATTAATCAAAAAAATAATCGATGGATTAATCGATTTTAAACTAATTGTTAGTTGCAGCCCTAGTCGACATTTATCAGGTAAAATCACACCAGCAAAATCTGCTGAGGAGCCACAAGTTATTCTAACTGCAGCAGAAGTTCTATGGGTTGAAGCACAGACAGTCTTTCTCCTTCATTCCTTACTTATAGGTTTTCTCTTTTTATTGTTTTCCCTTATCAGGAGGAGATGACCGGCGTGTTCTTCTATGGGATATGGAGAAATCCCTCCACTCCCATTCCAAGCCTGTGAAACTGAAGGGCGAGCACCTGTCCAACATCTTCTGCCTTGCCTTTGACAGCACCAACACCAAAGTCTTCTCTGGTGGTAAGGCGTGCACAGACTCCAGAGGTTTTATTTCACTATAAAACCCTGGGGGAAAATAAGAGAGAAATCCCTGGAAAGGTGTTTTTATAATTTACATTTGATTAAAAACTTCACATTCTTCCCCTTTTTATATAGAAGTATCAAGAACAAATTTAGGGATTTTGTGGTAAAATAAAATGTGACAAAAATGCATATATAAAAAAAATAGACCTGGTGTTACCAATAAGCCCAGAAAGCTTTTAGATCAAACATCAGGTCAAGTTCAGTATGTGTTTTGTTTCACCTTCCTCGATTGTCGCTTTCCTTTATCATTTTTTAGGTTGCATCCCAGTAGAGTTTATTTTCCCATCATTCAAGCGTCAAGCAGTTTAGGTTGAGTCTACATTTTTAAGGAATAAAATGCCAAAAACATAATTTTAGCTACCTTTATTAGTCTGCCAAAGTTTGAGCAAGACGACCTTGGAAAAAGCTCTAATGGACACTAATAAAGCTTGCAACTACCAACATGACAAGCTTATCTTTAAAAAAATGCTTTTTTTAACAAATTACATTTGTTAAGAAAAATATACCAGAAATTTAGCATAAGGACTTTTTAGAGCAGTGTGATTTTTTAAAATTAATTTATTCTTTTATTACTCATAAGGAAAAAAATGACTAATAATTTTGTGCATATTTGAAAGAATCCCGTCTTTTTCTTGCTTAATCTACAGGAAATGATGAACAGGTGATTCTTCACGACGTGGAGAGGTGGGTCAAAGCAAAGCGCACTATTGTTGTCTGTAAAGCCCCATAAATCAGGCAGCCCAGCTGAGGCTCAGACTGATGATCCAATCAACACGTGACCCACTGTTTCTCTTGCAGACGGGAAACTCTGAACGTGTTCCTGCATATAGATGCTGTGTACAGCTTATCTGTCAGTCCGGTCAACGACAACATATTTGCAAGCTCGTCTGATGATGGCCGCGTTCTGATCTGGGACACTCGTGAGCCGCCGCATGGAGGTGAGGACGGAAGGATTACATGTTAAAATCAGGAAGGATGCTTTGATTTTTTTGATAGAAAAAAATATGTCATGCCAGTTATATCATATATAGGCTTCAGTGTTTCCAACAGGATTTTAGGAGACCGTGGTGGGAGAGTCTCTGATCCTCGGGCGTTTTCATGTGTGCACATTTTTAAGCGTAGTGTATCCCACTTAAAGGGGAACGCCAGGTTTTTCTTTACATTGGGTCCTTGATTTTCCGTTATTCCATCATGTTCTACTCTCCCATCTGAGTTTAGTGTCATTTGCAGCAGTTCTGAAGATATTCCATTAGGTTATATCCAGTAACGTCTTCCTATGGGCAACGACTTGAAGGCACAAACTAAACTGTTCATTTATCATTTATGGTACGCCAGCATTCAGAACATGGAGGCCAATCACTGCCCCCCAGACATCAGCAGTTATATTTTTTATATTTATATATTTTTAAAACAAAGCGGAGTGTGTATGACGTCATGAAATTGAACGATACAGATTAGCTAGAATGAATAGAAGGGGTAGAGCGTAGCCGCCTGTGGCCCGGGCTGCCTGTCACTACTCCAGTCCGGCACACGGATGACGTCATACACGCGCCGCTTTGTTTTTAAAAGATATAAATATTTAAAAAATTGCTGGAGGGGTCTGAAAAGTCAGGCATTTTTATAAAGGAGGGCAGGACGTGCGCTTTGAAAAATAAAATATATATAATAAAATATAACTGGTGCTTGGAGTGGGTCTCACCCAGGGAGTAGAACCGCCACTGACCATCTATGAGCGTGGCGCTCATTCTTCCTGTCGCTTGGTTACGGCCATAAACAACTTGTCTCTCGCTGTGGAACGATCTGATTAACTGACAGATGTTTTTGTTCTTGTTTTCTCTCTCTCTGTGTCTATATGAGACTGGGGCGGGCCACCACAGTCTCGTTAATTAATGGGAAACACTGGGCTTACCTACTGGGCACGTTATAGATGAAAGGATTGTAGAAGTCGTACGTTTAGGAAATTGTATTAAAAACTGTGTGACCTGAAGGAAGCAGACTGTCTTCCATCCCAGTAGGCACTATAAATGCAGATATTTTTATTTTTTTTATGCTCATTTTAAAGTTTTGCATTAGAAGAGCTTAATAGAAACAGTAAAATTCAAATCAATTTAATACGTTTTGTCAAAGTTTCTACAGGGCTCGAAGAACGACTGCGCTAAAGAAGAGATGGACGCACATTTGTCAGAAGTTCTGATGTAGCGAACAATAACTGATGAGCTGTTTCTGCTGCTGACGTCCTGAATGAAAGCATTTTACTTTCTCCACATCTTTGTATGGCATGAACCATTGTGAATAATAGGTGACATGATAAAGTCTGCCTAAAGAAAATCCCCCAGACATGTTAGACCACATAACTGCTGCAAAGCTGCATGTGTTCCTGCTACATGTGGGTTAAGCGTGTAACAGCGTTCCGTTTTAAACGGTTGAATTATTTACACTACATGCGTAAAATGCCTGTATTACAGGCGTACATTTGCTACTCCTCGCCTAATTTAGGCTGAGGTTCTAATTTCAGACATATATGTGCTTCTGTTTCGCAACGAATGAACAGGAAAGTAACATCCATTGTCAAAGCTTCTCTCACAAACCTAGAAAAATAGACTAGAACGTAGCCGACGGTGTGCCTACTGTTTAGTGCTTTTTCTATTAAAAAAAAAATATACAAAATCTAAAGTTGTTTATTGCTCTATGCAGAAGGATTGAGTCAGAACTTGGGATGTGTTCATAACTTACTAGGGTGACCAGATGCGCTGGTTTGTATAAACGTATGACGAAATTAGGCTTTGCATCACCTGGTTCATTTGCTCCAATCGATAGAAATGCGTCTAATTCTCCTTTTCATTGTTTTGAAAGATTTGAAGTTAAAAGTTGCATTAGTCTTGGATGGAAATGTGGGTATTAAAGGAGAAAAGTGTATCGAACCCTTGGCTGGTAGAATAGAGGCAGAGCTAAAGTTAAATTGTTCAGATTCAGTCAAACATGTGCATTAGAATGGCCTAGTCAAAGTCCTGATCATCTGTATCAGGACCTCATGAATATCAGGTTTCATGAAGCACTCATCTAAACCTGCCCTATGCTGCAGAGAAGAAGCAGCATTTCAGTCTTGCACAGCCTGTAGCCTGCTACTCTGTAAGGCTTTCCTTGGTTATCGTATCAAAATAAGAAAATTTATTTCTGTTAATTTTTAAAGGTTTCATAGTTTGTACAGATCTATATTTGTACTCTATGAATAAAAATGTCCCTGAGTAATCTAAGCCGTAGCTCAGAGTTCTCAGCTGAAACACCCTGAGAACCCAGTAGATGCTCTGCAGGCAAAGTCTCACCTGTGTTTTTATGGATTGTGGTTCCCACAGAGCCGTTCTGCCTGGCTAGTTACCCTTCAGCCTTCCACAGCGTAATGTTCAACCCCGTGGAGCCTCGGCTGCTCGCCACAGCAAACTCAAAGGAAGGGGTGGGACTGTGGGACATTCGAAAGCCTCGCAGGTAAGACCATTTTGATTTACTAAGACCTGATCCGAAATCATGGACGGGTCTGAAATTTCCAAACATTTCATTAACTTTGATGATATGAATCTTTTCCTTCCTTCATAAATATTTTCTATTGTTATTGCTGTGAAAAAGAACCGTTTGCACTGAGCGTCTGAAACATTAGTGAATAATTCACTCTTTATTTTCTGTAAATAAAAAGGTGTTAACTTTTCTGCCTTATATATAATTTACAGGTCCTTCTCAAAATATTAGCATATTGGGATAAAGTTCATTATTTTCCATAATGTAATGATAAAACTTTAACCTTCATATCTTTTAGATTCATTGCACACTTCATTGCACACTAACTGAAATATTTCAGGTCTTTTATTGTATAAATACGGATGATTCTGGCATCCAGCTCATGAAAACCCAAAACTCCTATCTCACAAATTAGCATATTTCATCCGACCAGTATGATCAGAAACAAAAAAATAGAGGGAACACTGTTTATGGTAGGTTTTCTTTTTTTTTAACAACTTGGTTTATTTTGCACTTCTCCTTTTTGGTAACACAAAACACAAACAGAGAGTAAAGAGTAAAGACTTTTAACCTTCTTTTTAAAGATTTTATTTTTTATGTAAAATAGGAATTATGGGAAAATTATATTGAGTATATTGTTTGAATTCTTTGATTGAATTTTGTTTTTTTTGCATCAAGTTAGGGAAATATAAAAAAAAACATGAATTAAGATGTGTTGTTTTTTTAGATACATATGCAGAAAGTCCTGAAGTGTTGATTCCTGTTTCTCACGATAAATTTGCTGTAATTCTAGTCTGGATCACGCTACCTTCACCAAAGTAAATCACCATGGTAACCGAAGTGTTTGCACTTCTGTTCAACTAGATCAATGTTTAGTTTCACCAGAATAAATAGTCGGCATCTCATTTTGAGATCATCATGAAACTGCCTCCTGTATTGGAGGAGTGTATTTTTTAAATATGTCCACCAGATGGTGCTGTTGCCCTGATTATAAAGGAATTACAGGCTACTTAGCTCTACTACTGATTGTTCATAACCTAATATCTTAACTAACCATTTTAATTTCTAGATAGATTAATATTTATGGCTTATTAAATAGACAGTAGCCCAGGAATCCTTTGTTAGTCGTTGGAACGATAAAACCACATATTATGACACCTGGCTATATAAAATAGAAATAACCTAAAATGTTTTTGCTTTTTCAAAATAGGGACATATTGAAGCCTGGTTTGTCACAAAAAACCTAAAAGTTTTTAGAATAAAGCAAACTTCTAAACAAAGCAGAAAGTTTATAGTGATCAAAATGAATCCACTCCAGCTTGTTGCTTTTACATGTTATCGTTTGTCCAAAAATATTTACACTTTTATTTTTCATAAAGTACAACTTTAAAAAAATCATGGAAATAAGATGATCTCAAATCATCAGCTTAATAGTTAAATAGGGTATCTCAGAACCTTCTTTATTTTATGACTCCTGGGTGATTTGATATTGAATCGTTTAAAAGCCGTTTTCTTGGATGTCTTGGCTGTAAAATCTTGAAGTTTTTGCCAGAAGCCGGAAGTAATAATTTTACTTAAACAACAGATAAAACAGTTTAAAGTAGTTCTTATTCATGTATTTATTGAAGGAACATAATATGTCGGGTGATGCTTTTAAAGTCGGTCTTCTCCTCTAGTTAGTTTTGCGATGCATAGAAGTGATGGACCCCCCTCAGCTGATTGTTTTCCTCTGTGCCTTCAGCTCTCTGCTCCGGTACGGCGGCAGCATGTCCCTGCAGAGCGCCATGAGTGTTCGCTTCAACAGCACAGGCACGCAGCTTCTGGCTCTCCGGCGCCGCCTGCCGCCCGTCCTTTACGAGCTGCACTCCCGCCTGCCCAGCTTCCAGTTCGACAACCAGGGCTACTTTAACTCCTGCACCATGAAAAGCTGCTGCTTCGCTGGGGACAAAGATCAGGTGGGACAGCAGACTGTCTGAACTTTCCTCCAGCTCAGCTGTAAAAAGCTGCTTATTTTATACAGTCAATGAGCTAAAAACCTAAAAACAACATGATGATGATGAACCAGATGAAGAATGGCTGGATATTTCACAGAGTTCTCTGAGCTCCACTCCCATTTCTCAGTAATTCGTCAGCCTTTGCAGGGAGTCGAGGAATCTCTCATTAAGGCGCTAATTCAGACGTTTGCCTAAAGGCATCTTACTGTGTGGTTGATGGTAAGTGGGGAAACTCTCAGAGCAACGTTCCAACTCTGGCCTCTAGAGGGCAGAGCGACACGTGTTCCAGGCTCAGACCTGCGTCTGCGCCCTGACTTTTTATTTGACATATAAATACTTTGCCTTTACTGTCAGTTCATTTGTGGCGTTCCGATTTTCTGTGTCAGACCAACACAGATTTTATTATTGTTCTTATCTTTAATAGAGCTTCATCGCAATTCCCTTCATTTCAGAGTGAAGAACCTTTGAAAGCTGGTTATTTTCAGATTTTGATGAGCCTTATTGTTGTGAACGCACCACACCCATACGTCTGCTTGTTGTTTATTCAGCCAGTTGGAGGGACTTAGAAAAGCAATGAAGGCATGTTGATTACTGGGAAAAATAGAAGATACTGTAGGTTAATCATGACTGAAACATCATTTAAATACATTTGTAGTTTTTTAATAAGCCTAAGATTTTTTATTTGTCCAAATTTCTAAATATTTGGACCATAGTGATAAATTTTTTGGTCTGTAAAAACAGCCGTGTCGAAATTAAGTAAACTTTGCATTTTTATCCTCTAAAAAACTTGGAATGGAACTAAGAGAAACATTTACAAATTCCTCCGAGTAAATGAGGGAAAAAATAGCTGAACATATTAGACGTTTCAGAAACTCTTTCTCCTAATATTACGTCCGTCTGAAAGAATGTGGAGCCCGCAGTGACCCTGTCAGAGCTAACTACAGTAGAAAAGTTTGAGTGAAACCATCTGTTAGCCTAATAACGCTTCGTCGTTTAGGCCAGACTGTCGCGTCACGTTACGTCTGCGTCTGATTGCTCACCATGACTCACAGCAACACCAGTAGATCTGCTAGTTTTCTGCTCTGTGTTCTTTAGATTTATCTCCTTTTATCTGGTCTGATATTTTCTCTCCCTCCTGGTAAAGTTCAGTCTCAGTACTTGGTTTATTTTTTTTTTCAGTACATCTTGTCTGGATCAGATGACTTCAATCTGTACATGTGGAAAATCCCAAATGACCCAGAAGCAGGTGAGTTTGGTTTCCCAGATTCCACATTCATTTGGATTTTTCACATTCCTGCAGGATTTTTTTGTGAGAATTGTTTATCAAGTGTTGAAACAAAAGTAGGCTCCTAAAAAAAAAAAATAAAAATAAAAATAAAAATGATGTGAGGACAATATAAACTATTGAATTAAGGTAGAAACTCTCCTCTCTTACATTTTCAGGAATCATGGGCCACAGATGTGTGCAGTTTAAACACTATTGTGATTTATTTATTAATTTCAGCTTGGATGTAATTTATGATATCTTTAAAAAATGTAAGAATATAAATAAAAGTCTTTGCAGGAAATATTATCCCAGCCGAGTTCCTAATCAGACAGAGAACCGGTGAAGTGTCTTTATAATCAGTGGAAAACTGATCATTGCTGAGTTTTATGATCAGTTTAACGAGCCAATTAGTGTCTCAATTTAAATATTTTTTTTATATTTCTATCTTACAGTGGTAAAGCCCTATGAAGGCCATTTTATTTTGTCCCTTAATTCCACTTTTTACATTAAAACTTTTATGAATTTTGTCATTTCTGATATTTTTTTCCCTTAATTCCATATTTTCATTCTAAAAATATAAATTTTCTTCAGAATTATGTAATTATTAAGTCCCAAATAATAAATGAAAACCCATAAAATTCAAACTCTGAGTGTTGTTTCACTTTCAGAAATAAAACTAATTGCTGTGCTTCAGCAGAACATTAGATGCTTTAAAGTGCTTAAAAGTGTTCATCCATCCTTTTTATAGAAAGAAAAACATTCTTTATGTTCAAGACATAATTTAACATTTATAAAATTGTCCTTTTGTACAAGAGCTTCAGAGTTGAACATAAAAATGTCTCATAATAAAACATAAAAAGTAAAAAATAACATTTTCTCCAAACTTTATTATTAATGCTGTTTTTTTCCAACTCTCCGATTGTATTTAAAGAAATATTTACCTGTTTAAAACAATCAATGTACAAGATAAACTACCGTCTCACTTGTGTTGATGTAACTGAGCGCTAAAGAGTTAGCAGACATCTGGCTCATGCTAGCTAGCTAGCGTCTTTTCCGTGTTCCTGATGTCACTCTGACTGTAATTAATGGTCATCATGTATATTTCTATGCTTCCAGTTGATCGTTTGCTGGTAAAACAGGCAGAAAAGTTGCTCTCTATATGCGTAAAAACTGCTGCATTTCACCAAAACAGGTGAATAATTTGACGTTAATATTTAATTAGCTAAATTACATGAAACTGTCTTTGTTTTCCTGCATCCTTTAAATCATGGGGCCCTAAGCTAGCATGTTGTTAGCCATCTATTCTAAAAATATTTCAATAAAATCTACTAAATGTAGGTGTTACATTGTTCCTTATCAAACAAATCATCATCAGCACAAAATGATGGAACATCTGGAGGTGTTTTTGTTTTTAAACTTAATGAGTGGGTAAGAAAGTTTTATGACGAAAACCAAATTTCTAATGTTTGACTATAAAGAGAGAAGAGGCAGAAATAATCCAAGATGGTTGTGAGCTTCAATTGTCACACAACTCTGTGTCCGATCCATGCTTTCCTTCTTTTAAATTCATTTAATAAAGTAAGAATATCTCATCTGTTCTCCTCCTCCTTCAAGATGAACAGCATCTCATTTGTTGTTTCAGTGCTTCCTGCCTGCCTGTTTGACGTAGACGTGTCTTTTCCTCCATTACTGTCATTCTTGTTTTGCAGGAGGCCCTGGTCGTGTGGTAAACGGGGCTTTCATGGTTCTGAAGGGTCACCGCTCCATCGTGAACCAGGTTCGCTTTAACCATCACTCCTACATGATCTGCTCCTCTGGTGTGGAGAAAGTCATCAAGGTTAGTGAATGAATATTTCTCCTGTGGCTCTGAAAAGCGTGTTCAATCATCAGAACTCTGTCATAACTCTGCACCAGACTCTGAAGGTGAAGTATCAAAGCAGATGTTTGTGTGTGACTCAGGTGTGGAGTCCGTACCTGCAGCCCGGCAGCGAGGGCGATCTAGAAGGTCGGGTGGAGGACAAGTCCCGCAGCCTCTACAGCCATGAGGAGTACATCAGCCTGGTTCTTAACAGCGGCAGCGGTCTGTCCCACGACTATGTCAGCCAGTCTATAGAGGAGGATCCACGCATGATGGCCTTCTTTGACTCGTTGGTGCGACGGGAGATTGAGGGCTGGAGCTCAGACTCTGACAGCGATCTGAGCGAAGAGGCCATCATGCAGCTCCACGCCCGCGGCCGTCGCTCCACGCGGGCCACATCCGCAGCTCCTGCTGCAGCTCCCGCCGCTGATCCCCACGGTGACTCTGATAACTCCTCCTCCTCCTCATTGGCTGGACCGGACGCTTCTGGAGGGGAGGAGCAGGCTGCAGAAGACGGAGAGGACTGCCCTCTGAGACAGAGGAGACGTCAGCAGCATCAGTCCAGCTTCCTGGTCAACGAGGACTCGGATTCCAGTGAGTTTTGGCTGGACCCGATGCCCCGCCCCCGCTCCCCGAGCCCCAGGGAGAACTCCACTCTATCCAGCCCCAGCTCCTCTCCTTCACTCCCTGCAGGAGCCTCCAGCTCCTCCTCCTCCTCCTCCAGCTCCAGCAGCGATGACGAGGAGCGCCGCAGCGCCGTCCGCCGGCAGAACGTCATGAGGCGGCGTCGCATGAACGTGGTCTCCAGAGCCGGCAACAGACCCGAGTCCATCCAGGCTCTGTTTTCAGCCATGGACTCCTACAGCTACCCGTCAATCTCAGTCGACGATCTTTCCTCATCCTCGTCAGACCGGGAGCAAAACCCCCTGGAAATCAAACCGCCAGCTTCCGATTCCAGAGAGGAGGAAAAGTGTCTGAGTCCCTCGGACTTTGTGTGCCCGAGCCCAGCGATGTCTCCTGCAAGCCAAGACCATGACAGGAGCGACAGGACTGACGAAGAAGGACACGCGGCCGCGTCGCCTCCACTGCTGGATGCATGCAGGACTGAGGGAGCCGCTGGAGCAGCCAGGCAGCAGGCGTCCTCAGAGTCTGAGGAAGAGACTGCAAGTAGACCTGAAGACTCCAGGCCGCTGCGAGAGAAGGTCCTGGCACAGAGCACTGTGAAGCGGACTCATGTGGGATCACATGACGGCGAGTTGGGCTTGTCGCCTTCTGAAAAGAAGCTCAAGACGTAGCCTTTTATCATTTGTACACAGAATTAAACTTAGGAAGTGGATTTTCTGAGTTTCTACAGCTGAGCTTTTCATTTCTGACTCCATCTTGTTTCACATGTTTCACCTCAAACTGCTGAGAGGGACGGAGTGGTCGGCTTCGGTCGAAGAGCAAACAGTTTGGACTGAAAACCAGATTACAGGAAAATAGGAATAAGCTGCATATTGCTCGTATTTCAGAGGCGTTATTTTTATGTGATATGAGGTTCTGATTGTTGCCTCTGATGACATCAAGCTCTGAACTAAATCTAGATGTTTAGTTGCAGACGTTTCACTTGGAGCCTGTTCTGCTTCGCTTTGTTCTCATCAACTCTCAGTTTATGCTGCTTCAGGAAGTTTAAAAAAAAGAAATGCCTCCTCTACCGTTTCTATAAGCTGTGCATTAAAACTTAATGTTCTTTCTGTGTTTTTAATCAGACTACAGTTAACAGTCATCTCACCTGTTTTCCTGCGAGTAAAAAAGTTGATCTGTGACATTTTCCAGTGATTTTGAATAATTGAAAATTAGTCAACTGTGAAGGATTCAAGTGCTACACCAGCATCTACTCCCAGTCTCCATGGCAACAGGATTTAGACCCTCTGATGTTAAAGGAGAGTTCGTTCAGCTCACTCTACTGCAGTTCAGAAATGGTGAAATATAACGTTGTTTTTCTTGGTTCTTTTACTCTGGATTCCTGCACAGTCTGAAACTTTGGAGTTTGAAAAAGAAAACGAGAAGCTTTCAAAGCTTAGTGCTCAACTTTTCTTCTACACCTATCATTTCAGGTGCCATCAATTCAACATGAGACAATAAGCTGGAATTGCACCCGATTGAACCAAACCGATCCTATCAACAATCGTAAATCCTCTACTGGTTTCAAAAGCTGCATAAAATTTGCTGAAACAGCTTTGAAAAACTAAAATCTATTCACCTGCTCCTTAAACGGAGAAACTGCTCCGAGGAAGAAGGCGTGATGCAATCAGATTTCCCACCCTTTCATCGCAGAACAGATAAACCTCCTAAGAGTCGACCAAACCTGAAGAAGCGGGAAGTAACTGATCAAATGTTTGACACTATTTATGAGGAGGAAGCAAACCACTTCATCACACTGAGGGTCAGATTTCTGACAGCGAGGCAGCAAAAATGTACGGATTCATGTGCAGGATTCTCACATTTACTTTTAACTCATTAATGGCGACCACTAGGGGGCAGCAGAAACAACCCACTGGTTCTGTAGATAGAACTAATAATAAAGTTTAAGCAGATTGAACTTGGTTTAATCACACATGTGAAAGGAAGGTGGATTTTCTTTCCTAGTTTATATATAAGTAGCTCCTCTGCTTTAAAAGATGTTGATAGCTTGTAGGGGGGGGAGGCCATCTTGAATTTAATTCAAACAAGTAGCTTCCTCTTTCTAGGAGATGATTGAAACCTGCAGCTCCTGACAGTGTGAGGATTGTTCATGAAGTACATGATGTCACCTTTCTGAGGAAACGGGCATCATCACTTTGCTTTAAAGCAACAGAGCTGGTGGTTAGAAACTGTAGGTACCAACAGCTATGAAGGAAGGTCAATGAGGAAAAATCAACTCAAAGGTGAATATGACAAGAAGGGAAAATGAAACAGGAAAACAAGGAAGTTTTCCTGGAAGGGAAATTGGCAGAAAGTGTGAGAAACTTTAGATGGGGAAAAAAAAGGCAAAGAAAGAAAAATTATTAAAAGAAGAGAGGATTAAATGAATAAAGGGTGGAAAATAAGTAAAGGGCACAAGAAATTAAGTGGAGGAAGAAGAAAGTAAAAGGAAAGAACTTTGGAGAAGTGATGGAAAAATGAGCAAAGAAAGATGAACTACAGAAGGAAGGAAGGGAGTCCAGAAAGAATGAATGAAAGAAGCTACAGAAAAGCATAAGCAAGGAAAAAAAGATGTTTAACGAATAAAGGACAGAAATAAAGAACGGTGTGAGCATGGGTGTAATTTTGGGGGGCTGAGGGGGGACATGTCCCCTGCATTTTTTTTAAACATCTGTTTTGGTCGTCTGCACATTTTACTGACAAAAACAATGTTATCCTACAGTTCACAGATATTTGTCCAGCACTAGGACCAAGTGGAAAACCGCAGCTCAAATTGAAGCCCGCTGATTGGCCCACTGGCTGTCACTCCTGAGGAGCTCACTTTACAAACATCTGATGCGCTAATGTGATTGGATGGTCAAACGCGCTGACGTTACACTGGAAAACCTAACTAATAATAAGTAAAAGTATTTACCTTTAATCTGAGTGGGTAAATGAAATGACCTGCCAATGGAATGAGGATTTTTACTCTTAAAATAAGATATTAAGATAAAATGCACTTGAAATAAGAAGAAGCAATTGTGTTTTCTTATTTTAAATGTAAATTGTCTTGTTCTATTGGCAAAATGTGTCTTTTTCCTTCATAATTCAAGAACAAATGCACTTATTTTAAGATTAAATGACTTATCTAGATTTTGATTCTTTCCAGTTTAGTTATATTAAAAAATACTTGCACGCCCCCCCCCCAACACAAACACACGCACTTCTGAAATAAAATAAAACTGAAAGAAGAAGGGAAAGGAAGTTTTTTCAGTATTTTCATTCCATTTTATTCTTTTCTATACCTGTCCAGACCTTGGGTTGTCAGTAAAAATCCATTTGGCAACATATCCGGATTTTCGGATGCCTGATTTAATATTAATCTTTCAGTTCATAATATGGATAAAAAACAAGAAAAAAAACTTTTTTCCCTAAAAACGATGAGGGATAATGTGCTGCAACACATTTCTGTGGTTGAGGGACTCATAGAGGTGGACTCCATCAAACCCCAAACAACATGGATACCAAAATACCCGACTGATCCATATCTAATGATGAACATCTACACAACTTGCTTCTTTTTTAACTAAACATTTCAGTTTGATAGCTGTGTAAAATATCGCAGTATGTAGTGACATGGCAATATCGTCATAATATCGTATTGTGACACATATCGTATCGCAACAAATGCCAAAACTCACCCCTATCCAGACCTGGGGAAAAGAAAATTAAAATCAAATTCTATGATATTTAATCTTTTGTAAAAACCAAATGCAGTAGGAAATGTGGACCACTTCCTGCAGCTTAGAACCCGACCGCTTATAACGTGCAACATCTTAGCTGACGCATAATTTGATGCTCTGCAAGGAGGCAAAAAATACAAAAGTTATGTAGTTCACATTATTTTAAAGCAGGTAAAGATCCCGTTCCTGTCCTCTAGGACGTAATGCAGATGAGCCGGACGTATCCAGTAATATACCTTCTTCTGAACACGCGTCGTTATGGGATCGCTGTACGCTGCACTTTACATTCAGGGAGGGAAGCTGATTCCTTTAAATATCTTCCCATGTCTTTAGATGGTCGCATCACATGAGCAGCGTTAATGTTTTATGCTGAAGTATTTAGGAATGGTTACCAGAGGGCCATTTCCACCATCAAAGGTCACATCCACAACTGGGAGGAGCCCAGTTTAACCACAGCCTTGGATGGCGTTCAGCTAGAGCAGGGTTTAATCCGCTCTATTGGTTTTTAGAGCGAAACTCTCCTCATCCTCTATCACATCATAGGAAAGAGTGATGCTGAAGACTTTGTGATGTCAGGTGAGGTTTTAGCCGAAGACGTCTGCTCCCTAACCCAAACACGGCTCAGTGGGAGGGAGGGCAGCCCATGCAGCAGTAGTCCATACATGGCTCAGCCTTAACAGCTCGGGCAGCTATTGAAGAATTCCCCTTCGGAGATGACTGGAATACCTCTGGAAGCTGCCAGAGACCAAACGCAGCCAGCAGCATCCGCCAGCTCCTCTCATGAGCCTGAGCACCTTCAGAATCAGCAATAGCTCCTCTGCATAACCTGCTCTTCTTTTAAACCATGTATCAGACCTCTGCTGACCTCAAACTCAGAGCGTTTCAACATTTTGTTACAAACTTCTACTTTATTTGGATATTTCATGTTCCAGTTTTTATTTTTGTAGTTACCATAGCAAGTTTTTAAGGCACATCTTTGAGCGCTGCTCACTTTAACACAAAAAATTATCTCCAGTCTCAGCAAAGTTTCTTATATCAGTTTGACGACTTTGCAACAAACCATTGATTGATTGGAGATTTGATGTTTTCCGCTTCATTTTGGGAAATTCTGGCCTGTTTTGCAGACCCAAATGGAAAAGCAAATAACTTAGGAACTGTAAGCCCAGATTACATGACATGAAACAGCCTGAGCTGCATCAGTTCAAACAAGACACTGTGTCTATAAAATGAACTTGGTGGTTAAATAGTGGAGAAATAAGCTGAATTGCGTTAAAATGGGTCGCCGGCGACCCGGTGTTAGGCTCCCCCCTATTTTCTGAGTTCAGTCTTCCTTTCATAAACATGACCAACATCCCTGTCTCTGGTAAAGAACTGCAAAAACAATCTAGAAATAAGTAAAATTGCCTTAAATTAAGCGCATATATCCTTAATTTTAGTAGGTTAATGGGGTGATTTCCCAATGGAATGAGTGTTTTCACTCTTAAAATAAGATAATAGGATAATATGCACTTGAAATAAGACAATGCAATGTTTTATTTTTCTTCTTTTAAATGTAAATTGTCTTGTTCCATTGGCAAAGTGTCTCATTTACCTCCTCAATTCAAGAACAAATGCCCTAAGAAAACTGTTTCCACATCATAATAATGCAAGTTCCACCTTCATCCATTTAGTATCAGCTGCAGGGTTTAGTTTTTGTATAAAAAGAGCAGATTTTTCCCTCCTTCTACATCTTTGCTGTATCCTCTACCTGTTAAACGGGGGCCATCTTTCAGCTTTCCTCCTGCCTCTCTTCCACAAATGTAGAAATAGTTTTCCTGATTCTCCAACCTGAGCTGAGGGTCTCTGCTGTTAAGGTGGGCGGCCATATTCTTCTTGGTTTTTAGTAGCGTCAAAACTCTCCCCAAATTAGAAAAATTAACTGAACAGAGGCTGAACATAAATGCAAAGGTTTGCAAAATACAGTTAACCATGAGAGAAACCCCAATAAATGATGTTTGTGTGCCCCTAAAATGGGAAAGATCAGCCTGCTGGGAACCAGGACAAGCAGTTCATTTACCTGTTTCATATTTTGCAGCATGGCATAAAAGCCTCTTATGTCATTAAACCAGCAGGAGCGTCTATTGGTTGTTCATATCTGACCTTTCATTCTAGATGTGACACTTCATATAGCCTGTATGCTTTGACTATTCAAATACTAATTCAGCATCAAAAGCTTCTTTATGCTCATCGCTTACCTGAAAACTAATTATTCAAACTATTTATGAGCCTAAAAACAAGGATAGAAGCCATTTGGGGTTTAAAACACCAGAACATTTGAGCTCTTCTCTATAAATGAGTAAAAAAT